AGATAAGGTCTTCTACTATATCTGCTTATTTTCTGGGACAGGGCAGAACGTATGCTATGGCACATACAGATCCCTCCTTATATGAAAATGAGCAGGTCTGAAGGCTTGGAAATAACGCCCGAATTGCTGTGTTATTATCCAAGGCAGCTGATCTCTCTGACATTAGGGCTAGTAGAGTTCTCTTTGGTAGTTGTGATCTATTGTGTCTGAGCTATTTTATCATTCAATGGTTAAAGGCCATTTCTGAAAATGTTCTTTCAGAAATGGTAATGATTTTGGTTAGTGTTTCAAGGCAGATCTTCTTGTTGGGCATTCTTGCTTCAGCGTGCATTCCAATTCTGGACCCCTGATATAGCAAAGTGCTAGGAAAATGGGACTTTTGAAGAATTTCTGATAGCTCATTGTTACAAGTCAATGGAAAGGGCATAGGAGATTTACTGATCTGAAGATGGTGAAGATACGTTTGGATGGGCATTTTTTAACAATTGCCTCTCCAATTGTCTTTTGATTTTTAAAAAACAAATATATAGAGAAAACTAGAGAAATGTTCACAAATGTATAGAAAGGAAAAAAAGAAGAGATTAAGAGAGGGAGAATACCAGTAGTTTATTTTACATTATTTTTTCTTTGGGTGATAAAGAATATTTTCTTAGACATTAATCAAGGGGCAGGATGAGGCAGCTATTGACCAGTTTGAAATGACAGAAAATCCTCGGTGTCTGATATTCTTTGGTTAAAATATTCAGGAATATCTACAAAATGGGTTGCCATAAACTGCAAGGACTTCTTAGGTGTTAAGAAGACACACCTGATGGGGATATGTGATATGAAGGCAATGGCTAGGAAGGACATCTCTGTAAACTCCAAGCTGTTAAATATGTAGACATGACCATAATCATAGTATGGTAATGTCTCAATACACAAAAAGTAAAAACAGTTTGGCTCAGTCTCAAATATATCCTAAAGATTCAGAGCCTCATCTAAAGAGCCTCAAAACTCAAACATACAAAGGACAAATTGGAATGGTTTCTTGAAAAAGGAATATAGTAAGCTTGATTGCCTATGTATGGGTTTTAGTTCTGTAATTAAATTTCACCTCTCATATCTTGCAAGGCCCATATCTTTCTTCAGAGCTATTTGTGTCAAGAATAAAGCTGCTTTAAAACAGGCAAAGCAACCTGAAGGATTCTTAATTAGTTTGACACAATCGTGGACATTTCAACGTTTTTCCACAAGAGAAGGATTCTTAATTCACAATAAATTAAAGGACACTAGTGAATAAAAGTAACCAAAGGGAATTCAAGTTGCTGAATTCCATGAATTATGTTCGGAAAACTCATATTTAATTACATGTTTGAAATCAACCTTTTCCTGTTTTTCAAAAGACTTCCCAATTCAAATATGTGCAGACAAAAATTCTTGAAAAACCACACACCCCAAATATGTCAGTAAATACAAAAATGTATGTTAAATGCACACAAATGTCAAGCAGTCCCTCTCTTCTCCGTAATGGGGGGAGGAGCCTAAGCC